ATGTTTAGCTGACTTGACGGCAGCTTCCCAGAGTCCTCCAAAATGAGGAGCTCTTGGTGGAATGAATTTGAAGTCAATTCCCTTGTTACTACTGGTCTTAATGATCTTTTCTTTACCATTTTCTGAATAAATGGTAGACTGGAGCTCTTGTAGTTGGTTTCTCGCCCCAACAAAGTTAGTCGCATTGTCACTATAAATTGTTTGGCATCTTCCTCTTCTGCTGATAAAACGTTGAATAGCGGCTATGAATGCCTCTGTTGTCAGGTCACTCACCACTTCTAGGTGAACAGCCTTAGTCGCGAAACAGCAAAATACTGCTAAATATGCCTTTGTTGGCCTTTTTACTCTAATTTTATAATGAATCCATATCGGACCACAGTAATCAACTCCTGTGGTAAAAAATGGTTTAGTCAGAGTAACTCGATCAGTCGGTAAGTTGCCCATGAGTTGGTCCATCAGTTTTGGTTTTGCCTTTGAACAGATGACACAGCTGTGAACAATGTTTCGCGCCATAATCTTTCCTTTAATCGGCCAGAAGTTTTGTCTCATTATGCTTAGCAATAATTGTGGAGCACAATGGGAATTTTCTTCATGTTTCATTTTGAACATCAATTTCACTATTGAGTGATTGTAAGGAATTACCATTGGGTGTTTAGCATCATATGGCAATGTTGATGCTTCAAGCCTTCCTCCAACACGAAGTACACCTTGTTCGTCAATGAACGGTGCTAAAGTATTTAGTTGACTCGAACTGTTGACTGCTTTACATTGTTTTAAATCAGAGATTTCCTTTGCAAATTCTGAGCCCTGAATAGTTTTAATTATGAAGACTAATGCATCTCGTAATTCTTTTGGAGAAAGTGTTCTTGTTGGTGATTGTGTGCGATGAAATACACGGCGAACATAAGCAATTGTTCTTTGGAGGTATCTGAATGAGTTTCGATGATCAATTTGATTTATCATGTGATCAGAACCAGTCGTTTGAATGATAATGTTAACTGTATGTCCTTGTCGTCTTTCGATATCAGTTGAGATGTTAAATGCCTTTGGGTTTGGCTGTTGCCAAAATTCGTTGCTTCCATGAAGAAAGAGTGGACCAAAAAACCATATATGTGAATAATTGAACATTTTAACCTTTATTCCTCTGGAAATGATGTCAGCAGGATTATCCTTTGATGCCACATGATGCCATTGATCAGCATGTGACATCTCTTGAATTTTGCTAATACGATTTGCTACGAATGTGTGCAATGAGGCAGATGAAGATATTATCCATGACAAAACAATTTTGGAATCGGACCAAAAGTAGGTTGGCACGTTTTGATACTTTAAATCTTGTTTAACTCTTTCTGCTAATTCGACTCCCAGCAATGCTGCGCAGAGTTCTAGTCGTGGAAGTGTCTGTTTCTTTAATGGTGCTATTCTAGATTTGGCGCACAATAGTCTCGATGTTATTGTCTTATCATTATATATTGCTCGCACGTACATAGCTGCTCCATATGCCTTCTCTGATGCATCCGTAAACACGTGTAATTGAATCGAACAGGGAACCGTCGAATTAAAAATATGTCTGGGTACTTTCACAGTATTTAATGTTTGTAAGTCAGTTCTAAACCGCTTCCATTCTAGCTGAGCCTGAGGTAACAGTTCCGCATCCCAGGAATAGTTTTGTTGCCACAATTCCTGCATGAATATTTTAGCTGTTACAGTAATGGGGCCAAAAATTCCCAAAGGATCAAAAATTCGAGCTAAGTCCGATGCCATAATCCGCTTCGTGATAGGTTGCTCTGATGACATCTCTGCCTTTCCGCAAAATTCGTCTGATTTCGGGAGCCAAATAATGCCTAATGTTTTTGTTGGCTTTATGGCTGAGTCATCTAAATCAAGGTTGATTTCTTGGTCTTCTATCGGAATGTTTTGTAGGAGTCGTGTATTATTTGAGCACCATTTTCTCAGCTTAAATCCTGATTTACTGAGCAGTTCCGTAAGTTGTTGTTGAGTGTCTAAGGCGGTAATGATGCTGTTAGTTCCGCTTAAACAGTCATCTACATAAAAATCATTAAGTAATGCAGGTGCTCCAAGCGGATAGTTGGTCATATTATGTTTCGCAAGGTGTTGAAGACATTTTGTTGCAAGATAAGGGGCTGACTTTGTTCCATATGTAACCGTTTTCAGTCGGTAATATTGTATACTATCATCAGCACTTTTTCTCCAGATTATCAGCTGCTGTGCTGTATCTTCATCATGTACTTGAATTTGCCGGTACATTTTCTCAATATCGGCCGTAAATACAAACCGGTGTATTCTAAAACGCAACAGTATTGAAAAAAGATCACTTTGCACTGTTGGACCTTTGTGCAAAATATCGTTTAGTGCTAAACCGCTTGATGTTTTTGCTGATGCATAAAAGACAACTCTCAATTTGGTTGTAGTGCTGTCAGGTTTCAAGACACAATGATGAGGAATGAAATATTGTGCTCCTTTGACATCTTTCGGGCAAACTTTTTCCATGTGACCTAATGACTCGTAGTCATCCATGAACTTTATGTACTCCTTGTATAAATTTGGGTCCCTTTGTAACTTCCTTTCCAGAGAACAAAATCGATTGAATGCTATCTCACGCGATCTACCAAGTGTTGTGGGATCTTCGCGGAAAGGTAAGCGTACAATGAAACGACCATCGTGATTTGTCTTTACATGATTTGTAAAGTGATTTTCACACCATTTCTCAGATAAAGTCAAAACCCTTTCTGCAGTCTCAATGTTATCTAACTTCCAAAATCGTTCTATCATTTCTGACATTTCACCAACTTCTCCTGTAGTAATAGCGCATGTTGGTTTAATATCTGTTGTAGTTTTAGTCTTACCAACCACCAACCAACCTAGAACCGAATTTTGTAACAGTGGCGAATTCTTTCCTATTATCAATTGTTCTGTATGATATTGTTCTGTATGAGTACAGTATGATAGAATTCAGCACCAATCAGTATGTCAATTCGTCCAGATCTGTTAAAGCTGGGGTCTGCTAATTCTACATTCTGTGGGATCTGCCAATCCGAGATATCTAGGTCTCGTGACGGTTGTGGTGATATTATTTGTGGCAGTACAAATGCCTCTAGTCTCGTCCTGAAGCTTCCATTAGTAGCCTGCAGTTCAACATTTACGCGAGATTTTGAGTTCCCGAATTGACGGCCAATACCTTCGATCGATAGATTTGAATTTGTGGTAATTAAAGATAACTTGTTGATTACTCTTTGGGTTACTAGGTTCACTTGAGACCCTGAGTCGAGTATGGCACGAACATCACACGTTCGTCCATTGTTTGCAATAATGCGCACCTTTGCAGTGGCTAGCAGAACGTAATTACGAGTACACTTTGCATTAGTTGTTGCTGTTATGGATGGCGATTCATTAGCGTTGATCAATGTTGTGGTTGACTTTGTGTTTGTTGCTGGTGCCCTTGAAGGTTTAGGTGACTGTTGCTCTAAATGGAGCAAAGTGTTATGCTTCTTGGCACATTTTTTACATGATCCAGCTTCACAAACCTTTGCTTTATGATCGGATTTGAAACAATTCACACATAGTTTTTGTCGTTGAATCCAATTTAATCGTTCAGGAGGAGTCATTTCAATGAACTTTTTGCAATAGTAGATCGGATGTTTATCTGTATTACAAACTTTACATAGATCTGAACAAACCATAGTTACGGCTATCCTTTTGTTGGGTTTATATACTGCATTGACGCTAGACTATAGCCTCAAGTGACTGAAATCTCAATTCTAAAAATTCTAAGAATTGTTTTATTGTGGGCATCTCCTTTGGGTTGGTAAGAGTTTGTTCAAAACTGCAATGTGTATTTTTATCCAATTTTTTTAATAGTATGTGAACTAAAATTGGATCCCAAGTTGATGTTTCAATATTTAAATTATGAAGTTCACATAGACTTTCCTTTGTTGTGTCATGCATATTTTTAATGGCTTGGACTGTTGGATGGTCATATAAAGAGTTTTGAGCTGTCAAACGTTGCAAAACTGCTGATACTAGAACTCTTTTATTCTCATATCTACTTTGTAGTAATTGCCATGCCGTCTCATAATTTGCATCTGATATTTGCAAATGCTTGATGAGTGCTTCAGCTTCGCCTTGAATATTGGTTTTCAAATACCAGAGTTTCTGTGAGTCTGATATTCTTTGATTGTGTATCAGTTGTGCAAACAGATCACTGAATTGTCGCCAACTCAAATAATCTCCACTGAACTTTGGAAGAGATATTGTTGGCAAAGTAGCCGATGATTGGTAAGTTGACCTAATTGATGTCTCAATCTTGGTCGACTTACTAGTCCATTCCACCATTGTATCTTGCACCAATTGTTCAAGTGCTAGATAATGATTGCAATCAGGAGGGTTGTCTTGCCGTTCCTGAATAGTAAAATTTAAACCTTCAGCCTGATCCCCATAACTTGGTAAGCGTAGCTAATTTTACTGCAAAATATTGTGGTACCTGTTGCTGGTTATCTTGTCTCACATTGTGGTTGAGACGATTGATTGATTTACACACTGCATTTCGTCTGTTGACTAATGCCTGAATAATTTCATTCTCTTGACCACCAGTAGGTAATACTATTTCAGGAGCTTCAACATCATTATTTATCTGAAGGTTCAACCCCTTTATTGTTGATGGTTGAGCCTTAATGAGTAATGCTTCCAGCTCTTGAGTTATTGTGGTGATATATTTGTTACCCAAATTTATGATTACCATGCCGTAATCTTGTGTGAAATAGTCCGATGTTCTTGCTAGTACATCGGCTTGTTGTAGTTGCTCATCATTAGCCTTGAAGTCAGCTAATAACTGTTCTAAAGTTGTTTTACGATCTTCGAGATATTGACGTGTTTTCCTGCTGGGTGAGTCCTTCTTGAAGTTGCGAATGA